ACGAAGTCAGATTTGGGCGTTCTTTTTATGCACACTCTCGGTTTAACGTATGTTACGACTTTCGTTTAGATTACCAAGGCTAGAAATCATTCTATCGTAAATTCACTATTTCCGTCACGCAGTGTCGTGCTGGTTCTGTCGCGAAACTTCGACAGACCATAACTTCTTCGTTATAACTCGGATTTCGGCGTTCTTTATATCCCCGGAATCCTTGTCACGACCTCTACAACTTTCTTCATAAATATCGGGTTTATCTATATTTTTATTTTTGACGCTTGTGTTTCATTCGTGATTTATTATATCATAATAAACAAGCATAAAATACATAAATTCACATAATTCACATAATACTCGAATAATTCATTTTTATTACTTCAAAATGAGTTATATTTGTTGACCATAACTATTACATCAGCGCATCAATGCTTAGCCTCGAAACACGGGCGTTACATAATGGGTTAAGTAGTTAGAGTTCTTGTGTTTGGGCACTTAATGGCCATGCAAGACCATAAAGTTGGAAACTTTATGGTTAAGGACGTTATTTTAAGGCAAGATCTGGAATATGGGCAAAAGAGCTTAAGGATTAAGCTCTTAATAAGAAGGAAAATGACTTAGTCGTGAACGTTGGGCGTTCCCCCCTGGAACGTTGGGCGTTCGTGGTCAGCCATCGCATTTCTGGTCAAACTCATGTACGCCAAGCATACAAGCTAAGTAGTTGGGCGTACTCAGTTGTGTTGACCATGTTTGACTTTTTGATTTTGACATGGATTTGACCAAGTTTGACCTAATGGTATTTTGGGTATTTTGAGTTGTATTTGAGATTGGTCACTATTTGATGAATAGATAACAGTTAGAGTTGATATTCAGAGCAGAGACCTATTCAACTACTTGTTCGGATTAAGGTGAGTTTTCCTCGCTGTACTTACAGGTCGAAGACACCAAGGTCAGCCCATTTAATTGATATGCCGTTATATACTGATTGAGGATATGTTGAGTATGCAGTAGATATGTATGATTATATGATAGTTGTTGATAGGCGTTAGACTGATAGATTTGTAGGACTACCTGTGATTATTGGTTGTATAATTATCTGTTTGCTGAGTATGTTTGTTATCTGTTATATGTCGACATGTTATGTTGGGGTTGAGACTACTGCTTTGTGTTGCCAGTTAACAAACCCAGGGCAATCCAACCGGGAGGTTGTGGGCCAGGGTAATCCAATCGGAATGTTATGGACCCAATATGTGATATGTACGGCAATCCAACCGGGAGGTTGTGGGCCAGGGTAATCCAACCGGGAGGTTGTGGACCCGATATGCGATATGTAGGGCAATCCAACCGGGAGGTTGTGGATCCATTAGGCAATGTGTAGGGAAATCTAACCGGGAGGTTGTGGCCTAGGGTAATCCAACTGGGAGGTTGTGGACCCAACTTGTATGATTGTATATGTTATCCGCTTGTGTGGTGGTACTTTGGGGAAACTCACTAAGCTTTGTGCTTACAGTTTTAGTTTATTTGTTTCAGGTGCTTCAGATGATTGTGAGAAGACGAAGGCGTGATCATGCACATCCTCTTGGTTTTTATGATACCGATTTGGGGACACTATGATATGTTATTTCTATGTTTGAGAACAATGTTTTGTAAACAAATGGTTTTGATGGTATCTGAAAACAATGATTTTACTTGATTTAAAAATGAAAAAAATTATTGTGATTTTGGGGATGTTACAATATAGCTTCTTCTTGGAAACCTTTTGGTGGTTCATTTCTGGATTTCCAAAAGGTAATACATTCATCGTAAGTTCATCTTTTGTTGTCCTTTAAGTCACACAGAAGGAGAAGCCAAGAATGATGCCAAATTCTTGGATTTTGTGTATTTGATTGTCCTACTCATGTCCCTATAATTGAGGTCACCTAATAAGGGTCTTTAGGGGTTAAGAACACCCCAATGGAGGCTTTTATCGGACCCAATTGGAGTAGATGGCAATGATTTAACGATCATAGGCTGGAAGCTAGCTGAAAATCTTTCAGCGTGTTGATGAATCGTGTCTCATCTAACTCTTGTTGTGTGGGCATCCCCTGGTCGGTCGTGTTGTTATTCTCATTGTATCCATACGTGTTTACTTATTATATATATAATTTTGTCTTATACATATATATAATTAGTGTGTTTTGCATAACCGAGTATTTGACCAGAGTAACCACTAGGTACTAAGCTTATCCAAAGGGTGGCTATAATAATGACTAGAGTACCAGCGTTTACTGGCAACTGGTCAGCGTGATAACTAGGTATGATTTTATCTATCATTTTGATTTCGTATAACAACTAGGCATAATATTAGCTAAATAGTTTAGGCAAAGTATCTACCGGGCATAATATCATCCTAATGTTATGAGCATAATTATCTAACTACAATTGGTAATAACTATGTATAGTTACATTTTAACATGTATTCCCTACGAAACGGTTTGGAAAATAGGGTCGTGAACTTACTTGTAATTCATGAAAGGGGTTAACGTAGGATTCATTCGCACAAACATTATGAGATAGTGAGGTGCGTTTGAGGTGTGAGAAGAGATCAATATGAGTCTGCTATTTATAGGGGATTTTTTGAAATGTATGTTTCGCATTGCGTGTCGTGAAGTGCGCGTGAACCTCCGTGATGTTGACATGTGTCCTTTTCTCATGGTGCCACATCATCCAAATCATGGAGGATCAGAGTGTCATAATGCATGTGGTGCTCTGCGTGAGGGTATGCGAAATGATGTTTTATAATCTTTGAAAATTCGTAACTCTCATGTACGAACTCCGTTTTCTACGACCCTTATATATCCTTGTAGGTCTCGTCATACTCTACAACTTTTCTTTTAGTCGTTTTGGCTAGTTTTAACTTCCGTTTTTCGACTAATTTTTATTACTGTTATGATTTTATAAAAATCATAACTCGCTCATATGATCTCCGTTTTAGACATTCTCCGTTTCATAATTCTTACTTTAAGTAGTACTACGATTGCCTAATTGGTGACTTGTTCCAAAACTCAACCATTCTCTTTGTAGTTTTTCGTTATTGAAACCTCTAAAGTACAATAGATATTTATTTACTATAAAAGTCATATCTTACCCACACTAAGTCGGATTGTTGCGAAACTTGTATTTTTGGGATTGCGGTAGCGTATAGAATCTAAATATGTTAACCTGCTCTCAAAGTGACGTGACTTTTAGCGCACTCATATTTTATCCTAAAGTTTGACATCATTAAGGCGTTAGACGAATATATTGATATACATTAGACAATTATAAGATCGTCCTTATTATATTTTCGTGTTTTATCGTTAGATACAAACGACGGTTGATGACGTATTTTATGGGTTGTCACAGAAAGCCACATGGGCGGGGGCTGATCCATGAATGGATTTGAGGACGACTTCATGTCCCTCGGCTTGGGCAAGCAAGTCACGAAAATTATAAGGAGCACGCGAGGCACGAATAGCCGTATAGAATGTTTCAAACGAAGAACCAAGGCCACATAGAAACCAATGAGTCTTGTCGGACTCATCAACTGCATGACCGATGGCCGCTAGTTGTCACAAATGTTCTTAAACTGTCGACCAAAAACTGCAATGGTGGAAGTGCCTTTGATGAGATGACGAAGTTGATCGCGTAAATTCTGAACACGCTCAAAGGAAGAATTTCCATAAGCGGCTTCGAGAGCAAGCCAAATATCGCGAGCGATGGCAAGACCCACGACCTCCGAGAATGCCTCCTTTGTGAGCGATGCTTGGAGAAGAATAACCACACACTATCGGCAACAAGCCACTCTGCAAGAGTCGGATTCACAGCCGACTTGTTATCAACCAAAATCTGGGATCTGAAGCGGAGCCATTGACATGATCAAGTAGTTGTTGATAATTTAGTAAAGGAGACATTTGATTCTTCCATAATAAATAATTTGAAGAGAGAAGGATAGTGATGAGATGAAGTATGGTGTTCATGGGGAGGGTGGAGTCATGGGAAGAAGAAGAACTTGACATTGTAGAAGATGAAGAAAGGAGAAGAAAAAGAAACGTGAGGCAGATGAAGAGGAATAAAAGGGAGAGGAAAGATGAAGGAGTTAGGTTCTTGATACCATGAGATAAATGATTTTCGTGCCAATGGTCATGGGAGTAATGCATTATATAGAGAAAGATATTACAAGTACACCCCTTATAAAGAATAAAGAATACAAACATTTACATGTGTCTAATACTCATCCCAAAAATAAGAAAAAGAAACATTACCAATTTTATTCTTACACTGAGTAAGAAGATGAACACCTTTGTCATATAAATAGACTACTAGAGAAAATGATGGATAAGTGTGTTTGTGTACGATCTAGTGGTAGTTTTATTATGGTGCCCGTAGTGGCACCGACACTCATGGTTTTTTGTACGCAGCGCAAAAAATTTTGAATTTTTTTTTTAGTATCGTGCCACTACTGAAATTTTACTTGTTACCCATACTATGAAATTCTACGTCTGCCCCCGGTAGGATCACACATATACATTTTAAAAAAACAGAAAGATGATGAACATATATATGTTATGATGTTCTTGGCTACAAAAGAAATATGATTTCTACTTGAGAAACGCATAAACTTTTCTCTTTTGTTCTCTCTCTCAATAAAGAATCAAGGGGACCCTTACTCAAATCAAACACCAAGCCCACCCCTTCTTGTTTAATCGATTTCAGGTCCTACATCTAGCGGTGGTGTGTGTCGAGTTGTGTATACTCAGAAAATGTTCAATTTGATTTGGAAATGAATTGTTTTTTTAATAGGCTAAGTGAAATCTAACTATACAATTCCAATAAATTGTTTTTTTACCGATTTTGTCTGCCGATACTTTATTAAACCACTTCTCAGTCTCATCCTAGATTCTCAATCCAACCGCTTCGAACACAAGATTTCCTTGAACACCCAATAAAAGTGTTTTTCCAACTTGCAATAGAAAACAGCAAAACACCTATTGTTTTGCAGCCATACAAAAACGGAAAAACCCTTATTCAAATACTAATTTTTACGCAGCCGTATAAAAACTCCTTATTCAAATCCTCTATTTCTAAGCTTTTAGCCTTTACTTGTTAGGGTTTTACTCATTGTCTGTAAAGCGCCGCCATGCTCCACCACCTCGCCGGGCAATTTCTCCGCAGCTACACCACCACCACAGCCAAAACAACGATCATTACAATTAACATTATTACTACACCCAATCCAATTCGACGACAATAAAGTATCCAAATTACCATCATTCATCAACGTACACGCCATTTCTGTTTCCGATTCTGTCCGTTTGTGTTTTGGATTTTTGGAAAGATGTCGGTTTCATTTCAGCAAATTTCTGCGTTTAAGAGCTATAGTTCATGGGCAAAGGACTCTGTCTTCCAATTTGTACGCCCCAATTCTGCAAATACTAACAATAGGTACGGCTCGAAACCCTTATTCGTTCATTTCTTGCTACTATTACAATCTATACCAACTAAAAGACACAAATGGCTACTCATTCATCGATCCGTTAAAATCGATCAACTAAAGCAAGTAATTATAAGATACACAATCAGCTTATTCATTGATCGGTAAAAAATCGTCAATCAGACTTTCATCTGTAACTATTGTTCTAATATGATCTCTAATTGACAAATTATGATCGAAGTGCATATCAAAATTTGGTTACTACTGATAAATTGATTTGTTGAATGTTGTTAAGGAGTGCAAGATGGACGACCCCATCCGCAGCTATAATTCCCAATTTTCACCTTCCAATGCGCAGTTATGAAGTTAAGAACAGGTATCTATCATTCTATCCTTTTGCACCTGTTGTTAAATCCTTGTAGAACATCTTGAATGTTTAGGACATTGATTTTGTTGTTATGATGTTATCAGGACATCTACAGATGGCATAAGGTCACTCCGGTTGATAACAGCCATTAAAACTCCATATTTACCTGATGGAAGGTTTGATTTGGAGGCTTATGATGCATTGGTGAACATGCAAATCGAAGATGGAGCTGATGGTGTGATTGTTGGTGGAACTACCGGTGAAGGCCAGTTGATGAGTTGGGATGAACACATCATGCTTATTGGCCACACCATCAATTGCTTTGGCACATCAATTAAGGTACTTTTTGTCCTATTGCCATCAGTTTCAGTTCAATGCATGTCAAATACAGTACAACTGTCTTACCTGTGGGCCCACACATTTATGTTAGGTAATTGGAAACACGGGAAGCAATTCAACACGAGAAGCAGTGCATGCAACCGAACAAGGATTCGCGGTCGGAATGCACGCGGCTCTCCACATCAACCCATACTACGGTAAAACCTCGCTCGAAGGAATGGTGGCCCACTTCCAATCCGTCCTCCCAATGGGACCCACGATCATCTACAACGTCCCATCCCGCACCGGGCAAGACATTCCACCGCCAGTCATCCACACCATCGCCGCCAATGCCAACTTCGCTGGAATCAAAGAGTGCGTGGGACACGACCGAGTGAAAACATACACCGGAACCGGAATCACAGTGTGGAGTGGAAACGACGATGAATGCCATGATTCCAAATGGGATTATGGTGCTACTGGAGTTATATCGGTTACTAGCAATTTGGTTCCGGGGTTGATGCGGGAATTGCTTTTGAGAGGTAAGAATCCTTTGCTCAATGAGAAGCTTTTGCCTTTGATTAAATGGTTGTTTTGTGAGCCGAACCCTATTGGGGTTAACACGGCTTTGGCTCAGTTGGGGGTGGTGAGACCTATCTTTCGGTTGCCATATGTTCCCCTTCCATTGGCTAAAAGGGTGGAGTTTGTCAACATAGTCAATGGGATTGGGAGGGAGAATTTTGTAGGGGAGAAAGATGTGAAGGTTCTTGAGGATGATGATTTTATGTTGGTGGGTCGTTATTAGTTTATATAAGTTAATAACACTTTATTTTACCTTAAATCAATATTTTGTGTGTTACATTGTGTTATTAGGTTGAGAATAAAACAGAGTTATTGTTGTTATTGTTATTATCTGTTATTGTTCTCCCATTCTTTCTAATGTCATGAAATTCTAATATAATTTGAAGTAGGTTACATTTTTGGTCCCCAATAGTTTTATTTTGCAATGTTGGTCCTTATTTTTTGTAATATGTTTGGTCTCTGCTTCAAGTAAATGATTTGGATTTTTTTTTTGTTGCAAAAATGGTCATTTTACTTGGAAAATTTACTAAAAATGTCTTATGAAAATTGCAATCTTTTGACATTTGTTTGAATGAAAACCATCTATGGGAATGAGTTGCCATGTGCTATCGTTACTAAGAATTGTTGAAGTTTAGGTTAATTTTCACTTGGGCAATGATACTTCTCTTTAACTTAAGCCTTGTGCAAAAAATGACAGTGACTCAAGTACAAGGGTTGAAATGGACAAAACTTAAAGGCAAAAAAAGACCAAGGTGAAATGGGTCATAAAAGAAACTAATATTAGAAGCCTAATGTAATTTAAAGCAATAAAAAAGTGTATACCTAAAAGTTGAAATTACATTATGATCAAAAATCATGAGTGAGTGGTTGGGGGTGATGCCTGTTTTTGTTTGTGTTTGAAAAAAGTATCAACCCAATCCTTGTCCTCTTTGATTGCCTTTTCCCATCGTTGTTTGAATACATCCAGCTCTAATGTCGATTGCCTCCTTATCTGAACCCATCCATCCATCCATTATATAATTTACTTTTCATAAAACAAATTTCACAATATTCATAACTTAACGAAAAAGAATGATATAATTGGCTTACCTCAGTACGCATATCAAAACCATGGTGCTTCTGAAGGATACAAAACAAATGCAAACATATAACTACATAAGCATAATAATTAATAACAAAGTTCCCACAAATTTTAAATCAAACTAGAGGAGGTGTCAACTGTCAAGTGGATTCAGGGTTGCTTGAATCTATTTAATAATTTAAAATAAAGAGTTAGGAAGAATACCTTTGCCAAATTAACATCATTGGAACCCTGTAACAAGAATTTTATCTTTTAAGATTAACCAGTTTTAAATTATTTTAACCAGTAAATTTGAATGATAAATTAATAGAAACCTTTTTAGCAGCAGGCCCGCCTAATGTGGGTATTCCCTGATGCAAAATATATTCACTATCAACAACTCCAACATTTTTCAACCCCTGAAATATGCAAAATCGTAAAAACATTTCCTATTAAAATATCTAATTATAAAACATTTGCCTTTATTTTTAATCAACTTACTTGTGCACAATACCCAAGTTTCATATCCATTCCCCATCCATGAACCAGGTCATTCTGAAGGTACATTAACTGAATTAGAGTCCATATTTGGCATTTGTGTATCAAATATTAATTAATTATTTTTTTTTAGAAAAAATATATATATGCAACATTTTTTTACCTGTATAAGATGCCAAGCACAATGCCATGCAGTTCTGGAAAACACTGGAGCCATTCCTTCAACAAATCTGTAAATTATATTTTTAAGACATGCAGTTTATGAATTGCTTGTAATTTTGTATGTTCACTTTTACTTACCCAGTACATGGTGGGCCCTCACTATCACTTGTACATTTCACACTACCTTTAGGATCTATAACCCTTCTGTATGTATGTAAACAAATATACATATGGACATTAGCAATAAAAAAAAATACAAATGAATTGAAGATATTACCATTAGGACAAACAGGTTGTGGAAAAGACATGAATGCCCTTCTCATCCTATATGAATTGAGTCAATAGCCAATTGATTCATTCACCTGTGGAATATATGCCTTCTTTTCCGTAATGTGATCCTATGATGTATATCTGATGATTTTGGATCTAAAGCTGGTTGAGATATCTCCAGTCCTGCTGCTTTAACAATATCCAAGTATCTGCAAATATAATATAAATAATTGGAAATTAATACAAAGTATTGGAAAAGGAAAAAAAAAGAAGATAGATAAAGATGTAAAAGGTAGGTGCCTTCTGGGGTTAAAATGTTGCACTCCAAGATCTTCATCCCATAGAAATACATAATCATAAACAGAAACAGCAGCTGGATGCAGAAACCTTTTTGCAAACCACCTGAAATTGTAAGAATCATTAAATTTACCTCAAAACATGTCATCATGTCAATTGAAGCTTACCATTTTGTTTGGTTCACAGCTACAATATGAACAGCTTTCTTACTCCACTTGAGATCCCACCATCCATCCATATGCCCATCATAATGGAACAAAACAATTGTAAAATTCTCATGAAGAAACTGAAAACATTAATACATGTAACAAATATCAAAGATATATATATATATATATATATATATATATATATATATATATATATATATATATATCGAGTTGTGAATATGAAGACACTATTTATTTTATACCTTTCGAACAACTGTATTAACATTATGCTTCATTTTCAATCCCACTGGCATTGCCAACAAGTTATGAGGAATGGAAACATTAGCCTGACATGCATAACAAAAAAAGGTAAATCAATTAACAACAAATAAAATAAGTTTAGAATGTGATAAAATTAATCACAATCACCTTTAATTTAGAACTACTTGATGCCCATATGCGCTTTAATTCCAAGTCAGATTTAGGTTCAATAATGCCATAAGGTAGACCCTTTAATCCCGTGAAAGCTAACTAATAATAAAAAAAGTAAGGAAGCACATTAGTTTCATGATATATATGATAATATGAACCCTAAACTTTAACAAACAGATAGATATGTATATGTATATGTATATGTATACACACAGACATAGAGCAATTCCATACCTTTGTCTGTGAAAGCTGAAACTTTGTAGTTCTGTATGCAATATACAATAATATTGAACAAACAAATACCATGAACGTTTTGTTCTTGGATCGACAAAGTCCCTGAATTTATATGATTAGAATCCATTTAATAATCTCAATAATGTAGATGAACAAAATATGTGGAAGGAAAAAAATTGGAGACACATAAACTTAAACTTACCAATTCATTTTGTTTTTTCCTTAAAAGATTCCTCCATGATCTAAATTTCCTCATAGACGACTCTTTTTCATGTATCCCTTTTCATGCCAAACTGCAGCAAACAAAATTAAAGCAGCTACTAATCTCATATGAAGCTAATAAATGCCATCAACCATATCTTCTTAGTATTATCTTGATATAGTTTATTATATGTTTAAATAAAAAACAGGAAAATGCAAACTTGCCAAACAAGTACAGTGATAATCAATGAAATTGGTATGAAAAAATTGAAGCAGAAGTAGTTGCAATGCTCACGTTGTTTGCCCTATATATCAATAAAAGGTATCCAAGTAATCTCCTGCCAATTTCTCTACTAGCCTCTCTTAAATATATTTAAATGTGGAAAAAATCATTGAACACACACCAAAACAGGCAAACGTAAACTTGCCAAACAAGTATAGTAGTAATAACTGATAATCAATGAAATTCGTATGAGAATTTAAAGCAAAATAAGCGACAATGTTCACGTTGTTTATCGTATAATCAATAGATCTTAATTATGCTACAATTCGATACAAATAAACGATCGCACCCTATTAATCATAAACTGAAAGGACACCGGAAGAAACACCGACCTCTGAGATTTGCAGACGAATCTGTATGTAAAATTTCAGAATTTTCAGAAGCTGCGTTAAAGCAATCAGCCGAGAAACAACTCACCGGTTATTAGAATGCGAGTTTCCGGCCAGTGACTGTGAATGTTACGCGAAATTAGCTGCGTTTATTACTTTGAATGTGCGTTTACACATTCAGAGCGATCGAAATCGCCAAGAAATGTATTTGCATGTGTTATTTGGTTCTATTCTCCCTCTTCCTTTTTTGCATTTGTGTTTTTAAAGCTAAAAATGATGTATTAATAATAATAATAATAATAATAATAATAATATTATTATTATTTTTTTATATCGTACTTTCATTTTCTTTTATTACAACATTTAGAAGTTGTCAATATATAAAAAGTACACCAGTAAAAATATCCAATAAATGTAGGCTAAATCAAGGTTGTCAAGATCGGGATCCTACGTAGGATCGTTTTTGGGATCGTTTTTGGGTTTTCAAGATCGGGATCGGGATCCTAAGATCTCACAAAATAAAATATAATTTTAATTTATAATTTTTAATCATGAAAAAAGTAGTTCAAACATTCAATTTTTCGTTCAAAAGTTATAAAAAATTCAAAATATTAGTCATAAGTCGCAACACAAAATGATAAATGTTAAATTGGTAAAGGGTAAAAGACATAAAGTGGTAAAAAAAAAATTAAGGGAGGTAGGATCGGATCGGATCTCGATCCTACGATCCTACTTACGATCTTACGATCCTACCTGCGATCCTACCCCAAATACGATCTTTTTACGATCCGGATCGTTTTTCATACCGAGGATCGTACGATCCTACGATCAGGATCGCGATTTTGACAACCATGGGCTAAGCACAAGTCTTACATTAATGATTATTTGTTAAAGATTTTTTTGACTGTTGAATACATAATATAGCTTCGTTTACAAAAATAAAAAATGGTACACATTTAGCGAAATAATGATACCTTTACGTGTATTATCTAAATTTATGTTTAATAATATATCATTTTTTGTACTAAATTCGAAAATATTTTTATTTAACCATATTTGTTTTTTCTAAAGACTACAAGCTTATTTTATTTAGAGAAAATGCTAAATCTAATAAGTTGTTGGAAAATTGTCTAAAATTTTACTTGTTATAAAAAAACACATTTCATAGGGCTACTGTGTAAAATACAAAGTTCAAAAACTGCTTCATATTTAGTTAAGCACAAAAAGTCGATCACATCCCTAATTTTCACCCTTCCATATTCAATGTGCACTAAATATATGCTTTCATTCCTTCTATTTCGTATAGAAGAACTTGAGAATGGCTCAAAAAAAAAAGTGCCTAGTAAAGTTTTCTTCTTCCAACATGACATCAAGTTTCTTTTTGACCGAAAACAAGGAATCATGTATTTCGTTTTATTTTTATTTTTTATAACAAAATAACAAATATACAAACTTTCTCTCTATTCTATACCTAAACTGCACATTTCATCCGATGCTAGACTAGAACTCCAAACCTCTCTTTGAGAGTAACATTTCCATTAAATAAACAATACATGATACCGTTAGGCTACAAGTATTTCGATGGTGTTAAAGAATAATTTATTTGTATATTAATACTTATAGTTCACGGTCCTTTTTGTAATATGTCGAACTACATATATTGTTAGCAATGCACTATAACCTCTGCGGAGATTTCCATATTCCAACATGGTATCAAGCAGTTAAGGTTGCATATGATTTTTTTTTCCGGCAACCCTAGTGTAACATCCCAAAGTCAATGTAAAATTTTCATTTTTCAATTAAAGTAAAATCATTGTTTCAACCAAAACCCAAGTCATAAAAACCAAGTATCATAAAATCTCCAAACATGTCACCGAAGGGTGTGTACGATCACACATTCGTCTTGCCCCGATCATCTGAAGTACCTGAAATATAACACTTAAACTGTAAGCCAAAGCTTAGTGTGTTCTCCCCAAAGTATCATACACAACCAAACAGATAACAACATGCGTATATGAGCCTTCAGCATGACGGAACCGCCTCACAGGGCCTACAACCTATCGCACCGCTATCCAGGCCTTCAACCTGATTGGACCGCCTTGCAGGGTCTACAGTTTATCCGGGCCGCCCCGAGTATTTTGGCCTTCAGCAGAAAGCATGACTGCCTCAACCCAACAATAACAATAACATGTCGACATATACAGTAACATTCAATAGCCAACAAATATAGGTAATCATACAGATCTACCAGTCTATCATATATCCAGTAAACACAGGTAATCATACAGATCTACCATTCTAACATATGACCAGCATAACATCATCCAATATACCAGGATACATAATCCAGTGGGCCAGCATTGGTGCCTTCGACCCACAAGTATAGTGAGGAAAACGCACCTCACAGTCTAAATATAGCTGAACAGATCACTACTCCAAGTGTTGTCTCTATTGGTCACCTATATAATAAATAGTGACCTGAACTCAAACTACTACTCAAATTACCCAAAATGCCCCTGGTTAAAGGTCAAAAGTCAAAAAGTCAAAGGGGGTCAACACAGACTGAGTACGCCTTGCGTACTCAGTCACTACGCTCAACGTAGTAGATCATTTCCTGGTTACGGGGCTCCAGCCAGGTACGCCCAATGTACTCGACCAATTCCATTTTCCTCCATTAAGTGCTTATTACATTAACATCTCACATCCAAAGCTCAGATCTAGTCCCAAATACCATTCTAAGTCATAAAGTTTCCAACTTTATGAATTTCCATGGCTAGAAGGAGTCCAAAAACCAAAACCCTAACTTAATACACAAACCAAAGCATCATAACTCTTTCATGGAGGGAAGAAAGGGACCAATATCACATTTTATGGTTCCTAGCACTCATAAACATCTGAAAGGACAACTCTTATGGTTTAGAGTAAGCCATACTCATGAATACCAAGACTATGGGACCAAAATACTTAAAAACTTAAGATCTAGCAAGATCTAAGGAAACATTCATCAAGCTCATAACTTTATACCTTCTGGAGGTTACTTGCAAAGAGAACAACTCAGATCTACAAGGCTTGAAGCTTTCTAAAAGCACTCCAAAGATCTTATTCCTTCAAGGATGGACACCAAACACACAAATGGCGTAAAAACTCACAAATAAACACTAGGGTTTGCAATGGATCGATTTGGGAGGATGGAAGTTGGAGGTGGAAAGGGTTTTGAGGGTTAAGGTTGCTTAAATAGTTCTCAAACCCTAAAAATTAGGGTTTGCACACGTGCCAAGTATGCCCAACATACCCATGAGTATGCCTAACATACTCACATACACTCGCGACCCTTTTTTCATGAGCTACCCCATGCGTACGCCCCAACATACCTGATGTTTGGGTGCTACACCTAGTCGTATCTCTGCATCCACTGACAGAAGCCCTCAACGAAGACTTCTGGCTCGTCACTGCTATCATCACCAATCACTACTTCCGCCATCACAACCTCAATTCATTCTCCTTTGCTCTTACTCTCGTCGGCCTTCGTTGTTGCCCACAACTTCTTCTCTTCCGTTGCTACTCGACTATTTCTATTGCCATCACGGTTTGTTCACCGACTAATGGAGTCTAGTGCTACAATCCTTATACCCGCGATAAGCTCTTTTGATTATATTCTGATTTTTATTTTTACTTAGTTTTTTATTTTCTCCGTGATGTCTACACTAGCCATTGATACCACAACCATACCTTCATATCACATTAATTGGTTTAGGCTTTAACCAATGTGTAGTTTCAGTTTAATTTCAAACTTACTGTTTCTAAGTACAAACCATGTCGAAGCATTTTTCTTAACATGTGCAACGGTAAAAAGTTACTAGGTCATATTATTTTGGCAAGTCAAAACCCTATGATGATGATAAGGATTGTGAGTCTATCTACTCTAGAGTGAAATCTTTGTTCTACTCTGCTTGTGATCCAAACTTGCTACAAATGATTTCAAGTGATAATTATATTGCCAAAGACTCATGGGAAAAATTAGAAGAATTTTTCCCCAACAATAAAATCTATCGCACACCCCAACTTCAATATCGGTTGTGCAACACTAAGAAAAGAGCATTTATCAACTACTAAATGTTAGGATGACAACAAAACAAGTTAAAACTTCAGAAAAATGTCAAACAAACTTTGGTGAAACTTGTAGAATAAAACTTCTGAAAACTTAAATAAAAAATGAACACAATATTTAATGTGGTTCAGTCAAGGTGACCTACACCCACGAGAGAGAGAGAGAGAGAGAGAGAGAGAGAGAGAGAGAGAGAGAGAGAGAGAGAGAGAGAGAGAGAGAGAGAGAGAGAGGTTCATGAACTGTTACAAACAATCAATGTTGTATCTCACTTTTAGCTCTTACTGAAAACTAGCAACAAACAATAATGGGGATATGAACCTATTTATAGGGGAGCATGGGAGACCCTAATTCTGATGGGTCAGGCTCATCCATAATTAGCCCATAAAGGGATGCCCTATTTTCCAACCAATCACGGAATGCCATGCGAGCACTTCCAGAACCTTCAACGCCATGAGCATCGTCATGTACATCATCCATGAGCATCATAATGAACCTTACACCTAAGTGGCGCATCAAGAGCCATGATGACGCACCATGAACCTTTGTGGTGCATCATGTTCCATGATGTCACATCCTCGCTTCTTGATCATCAACAATTCCTCAATAATTTCAGAACACGTCAATGCATACAAGGGAGACACACCTAACACTAAAGTGGCGCACATTAATCATAGGTGGCAAACCTTGTGTAATAATGGCGCATCATGATGCATGACACATCATTGATGGTCCATTCTTCTACCTGATGCTCCACTCCAACTCAAGTGGTCCATGTTGATTCTTGATGCTCCATGTACCTCCAAGTATTTCATGTTGATTCTTGATGGTCCATCCGTCCATGTACATCCAAGTGCTCCATGTTTGGACAAGACTTCAAACCCCAACACTAAATTCCATCATGCACTCAAGAACATTGCATATGATCTTGCAGATGTAGAATCTACAATCAACGTAGTCTAACTTGTTATGAAACTACTTCGTAACTTGCATGTTTACTATCATAATATTGTGGACGTAGTTAACAACATCAAGCCGTTTCTGTATTTTCTGGAAACAAAGAACATGTTATCACAAAATTCAGCACTTTAATCCATCAAGGATCAACCCGGAAAAATAGAAATATAGATAGAATATAAATTAAAATAATGGTCGGGTACCGTATAATGTACAATGTTCATACCTTTTATGTTCTTGACCTGATTTGAGGGATAGCAGAAGATGCATCGGGCAAAAGAGTCTTGACTTTCACTCGTATACGATTTGGACGAGTGGAATAGGTATCAAAGTATTCATTATTAATTTGATCTGCTTTATTTAATTATTTTTGATAAATTCATAATTTTTGCAAAATAAACCCAAAAACATTTCAAGTCTTTACTAATTGATAGTGATCATCAATTATCTTTTAGTTCCATTTGAATTTTAAATGTTGAGCGGTGCCCACAAAAAAATGAAACCATTCTTATAAAGGACATCTCTTGAAACTTTCAAGAGACTAAAATAGCCTCACAAATTTATTACCCCAACACGTGTAAGCACAATATGTTCTTGTTTTCCCTTCCACATCACATAACTACGTTTTTTCCCATAAAGAAAGAAAATTACACTTTTGGTAAGATAAATTAACAACAAAATCTTTTGTGTAATAAATCAACAATAATTAGCCAATGGCATGATTGTTAAGGGTCCTAGGAAGTAGGAAACATGCTCCATTGTATCCTCATTGCTAAAAGAACCATCTACACATCTTTATTACTATTAATTAATTAATAATTACACAAAAGATTACAAATATATAAATAATATGCCTATTTTGTGGCAAGAGGTCGATTAGTGATTATAAATGGGCTTCCTTCCTTCGATTATCTACATGCTGACTTCAAATTTTGCAGCCAAGATCCGAAAGAAGATATATTTTAAAACGAGTGAGACAAAATTGTGGGGTGCTTCAAAGTTGAAAGGGATATCATGATTTTTGAAGAATAATGTTTAGTTCTTGAGCACATCTTGCTACCAAACCGCCTCGCCTAAAAAATAAAAAGTTTTAGATGTCATTTGGTTTGAATGAACTGTCTGAATACGAGTAAATGACTAATTTATCCTTTTAAGCAGTGTTGTAAAATCATAATTCATAAGTGACTATCTTTTTCGTATGATTTTGTTGTAACCATATAAAAAACATGCTTACTTTATAATAGAGGGGAGACATTTGTGAATCTTCTGGAGCTGTATATGGCATTGATTGCAGGATTCAAGTCTGTCATTGAGTTTTTGCACATTATAAGTTGGTATTATAATTCTTGTGGGCAATTAAAAGATATATAAAGAAAATATAAAAAAGATAAATTTACACGAATGGGAATCAAAAAGACCGACCTTTTTTCTGCATGAAGATCAACACCAACAGCTGGAGGCGCTGAAATTGTTGAGCTGACTACAGGCCCAAAGACAGCCACGAGCTTTAATAAAAGTTGTAATGATACACTTATATGCCTGCATAATAATTTTCAATTCCCACACCACAAATATATTATCCACACTTTGTTTAGATAAAATAGCAACACACTTTCATGTTTTTTTGTTTATTATAGCATCCTACTTTCATGTCTTTCTATTACAACATTGTAATTTCATTTTTTTTTCTTATTAAGACATTGTAATTTGAATATATACTCATTTATAGTATTGCACTTCCATTTTTTTAGAACAGATATCATTTTTGGTCCCTGGATATAGATGATTTTTGCAGTTTGGTCCTTGTTTGAGGTTTTTGTAACATGTTTGGTCCTTGTTCCAAGAAAATGACAGCATTTTTGTGACTAAAACTGCAAAGATCAGCCATACTTAAGGACCAAAAAAATAGTCATTATACCAAGAATCTCAAATGAGGACCAAAAGTGCAAGAGAAAAACTTTTGGGACGATAAATTCAAAAATCAGCTTTTTTAGTAAATTTCATTTTTGATCCCTAAGTATAGCTGATTTTTTCAATTTTGATCCCAGGAAGTTTTCTCTTGCAATTCTAGTCCTAATTTGAGGTTCTTGTGATGTTTTTGGTCCCTGTCCAAGTAAAATGACTATTTTTGGTCCATGAGTATAGATGTTATCTGCAAATTTGGTCCCAAAACTATAGTAATTTTACTTTGAACAGGGACCAAAAACATCACAAAAACCTCAAATAAGGACCAAAATTGCAAGCGAAAACTTTGAGGACCATGTTTGAAAAAATCAGCTATACTTAGGGACCAAAAATGTAATTTACTCCTTTTATTATTATTATTAGGACATTATTCTTTGAATAATCAACCCAATTATAGCAATAAAAAATGCTTTGTATTTACATGACATTGATAAAAATAAGTAGATTTTTAAAAGTAGAATGCTATAATAATATAGTTATGAATAATTACCGCTCTGTGTTACTGTCCAGTAAATCCAAAAGCACAGGTAGCAAGCAAGAAAAGAGATCTAATGTGAGAGAATCCATTCTTTCCATAAGAACATTCACCACATCTGCTTGAACCCTGAAACAAAAACAATCAATTTTTACAAAATTCAAGGTTAGTGGATTTGTTTTAGTAATAAAACATAAACTAAAAACATGCAATAAATACTCACAGCATTATCTGGCAATTTCCTCAAGGCATCTATAGCACCCTTTGTGTCATTGTGCTCCCAAAAGTGTCGTACTACCTGTAATGTAAATGTAAGTCCATGAGAATTGACAAGTAAATTCATTTTAAGCAATCCAAACCCTTTAAACATCATTATATGGATTATTCTGAAAAAGTCAACAAAAGAAACATAATATTGCAATTAAGTGATAGGATGTTGAAGCTTACCTGGAGCTTTGTGAGGCGGGACCGCAGACTACTCAAAAACACATCATGATTCGTCATCAAATCTTCTGCCACATCATCATCTTTCTTAGACACCAAACCTCTCCCTGTAGTCTGTGGGCCATTATCATCCTGCCACTTTCCAAAATTAGAAACAAACTTTCTCTTACATTATTATATCATAACCAAAGAAGAATCTTATTCTTACCATCAATGGAGAAGATTTAGCTTTTTGAGGTATCATTCTGTTGATAGTATCATGCCTTGGGGACACCAATACAGATGAGATTCTACTAGTTCTTTCAGGCATCACACGAGAGGAAGCAGTAGATCTCCTTGCAACCACCATTGGAGATGGAGATGGAGATGGAGATGTTCTAACTTTTTCAGGCATTAAACGCCGAGAACTTATAGATCTTGGGATGGGTGAGGCTTTACCTTTTTCAGGTAACATACTAGGGGCAGTTCTTGGTCTTTGAACATGTGTATCCTCAGATCTTATGTTTGGGCGTGAATCATGTTTTTGTACCCTTGTGGGTGATTTAGTAGCCTCATTTGATGCACTCGAAACCACATCAGGTATCTTTTCAGGCCTGATAAAGGTTTCAGCTTCAGGTGCCTTTAGGGGTATTTTAGTCACATCGGGCATGATAAAGGTTTCAGCTTCAGGTGCCTTTAGGGGCATCTTAGTCACATCGGGCATGATAAAGGTTTCAGCTTCAGGTGCCCTTAGGGGCATTTTAGTCACACCAGGCATTGTATAGGTTTCAGCTTCAGGTGCCTTTATGGGCATTTTGGTCACATGGGGTATCTTTTCAGGCATGGTGAAGATCACAGCTTCAGGTGTCTTTATGGGCATTTTGGTCACATCGGGTCTTTTTTCGGGGATGGTGAAGGTTTCAGATGCAGAAGCCTTTGTGGGTATTTTAGTCAGATCAGGTCTTTTTTCGGGCACGGTGAAGGCTTCAGCTTCGGGTACCTTTATGGGTATTTTAGTCAAATCAGGTCTTTTTCCGGGCATGGTGAATGTTTTGGGTTCAGGTTCGGGTGTTGGGTTCACTATTGGGGCAGGTGTATCTGTGTTGGTTAATACCCGGGGAGATACATCGGGCAGTTGTGATTCATCAGTGTTCAATTTTTCTCTCTTTTCAAATCTCTCAACCAGGCTGCGAGTCCTTCCATGGACAACCGCCACTGTATAAAGAAAAGAAATGGAGGGTTAAAACGGTAATTTTCACTTGAGCACTGAACACAGATGATAAGATTTGATGGATACCTCCGTTTACATATTTAACAGATTTCAACTCTTTGTTTGAATCCACAGACTCATTGCCTGAAATGAAAGAAAATGAAGCTAATTAAATATTGTTATGTAAAGCAACAATTTATAAAAATATAAAGCAATGTAAATGTAGTAGGTAGTAGTACTTGGAGATGAAGCTTTTCGAAACTCTTTTGTTTTCTCCTCGGAAGAATCTTTAGCAGCATCATCTGATAAAACCCTTCTTTGAAAGTTTGAAACTTTAGCAGCATCTGGATCTGATCCAGATTTTAAACCAGATTCAACTGTTATTGATAGCCCTTCAATATCTAATTTAGTAGTTGATGGTTTTCGCCTATGAGATGGCTTAAGTGATGCAGCAGTGTTATCCTGTTCATTGATGAAGGGCTTACTGGTAATTTTGGTTGCTGCAGGAGGGAGTGTAGGGTTAGGGGTAACCAAATTATGAATTTCTTTGGGATTTTGTAAGTTGACAACTTTTGAAGAAACAGGAGTCATGCCTGCAGCTTGACATGAAACAGCAGATTATAGTAAGTAATCATCAACTGTCTAGTATTTATTGTTAATGAAAAAAGAAGACATAATTTTGTTCCTATGAAACCATACTACTTTACTTCCAAAATCAGATGAAAAGATGCAAAATTCCGTTTCTTGACAAAACTTTGTTGTCAGAATTACCTATTTGCCCCCAATCATCATTACAACTTATTGATTTCATTGACTTCTTCTGTACACAAGATTCCAAAATTTTCTTTACTTTAAAAATCCCATAAAAATGAAAATTTTCCTTTCTTTAAAAAGTTTTGAAGTTAGAGTTACCTATTTGCCCCCTATCATCATTACAACCTACTGATTTTAAAAAACTTCTGTACACAAGCTTCCAAAATTTTCACATTGCCAAAGGGCATTCAGGTCATTTAACTAATCAAGGTCATGATGAAAAAAGATAAATAACAACTTACTGTCCACATATATGTTCTTTATATCCTTTGTGTCATCATCTGAGGACATGGTGGATCTTCTAGGACTCCCTAATCTCTCTGTTAAATCTTGCTGGAGTTTAAATTTATGTGGCATACGAGTATTTTCCTCACCTAAAATACTTGGCCCATTCTGTTCAATAAGCTTCACCCACCAAAACACACTTAAATAATCAGGTTTTCCATTTATCCCAAAAAAAAATCATACATTTTAACCAATAATACTTGATTATTAAAAAAAATGTAAAAGCAATATAAAATTTAAATCACAGAATAATTACCGAAGTATCAGCCACCCAAACTGCAACAGAGTTTTGATAATATGAGCATCCTACAAGCTTCCCATCATCAATGCAGAGGTCGCCCAATGTTGACCATCCCATATCAAGAGAATCATGACAAATAATCGGCTCCCATGAATACACCTGAAATTTAATAACATATATAGATGATAAGGTGAATTAAATCTATTTACAAAAAGAAAAAGATTTAATTTAATGTAAAAAAGTTAAAACCTTTAAACTGCTGTCTAACCCACAAAAGAGAGTTCTTCCATCTGGGTGAAAGGTTATTGATCTTACACCTGTAGCCTGGACAATTACAAAAGAGATGTTGCTTGAATAAAATATATATCCAGAATACTAAGATTAAGAAAAAAATGGGATTTTTTTTTTTTCTAGAAAAATGGTACCTCTGGTCGAGTTGTTCCAATTAATTCAAAGGTCTCCAAGTCCCAAAATTTTACAGTTTTGTCTGATGAACCTGTTGCTAGAAGAAACTCAAGAGGATGAAAATCCATTGACTTAATGTGCCCTTCATGAAACTTAAACTCATGTAAAAGCTTTCCAGCTGTTAAGTCCCATATCTGTCACACAAGTTAAAACTTAACCACAATGATGAGTCATTAATTCTTGATGTGCTGACATGGCAAAAAAAGATTGTACCTTTATAACATTATCAAGTCCCCCAGACACCACCCAGCGACCATCAGGACTAAATCTAATAGTACTAACAGCTCGCCTGTGTCCTTTATATGTGTGAATGCACCCTTTCTTTCTAATATCCCATATCTTCAAATTAGTGTCCATGGAACCCGATGCAAAAAACTCACCAAATGGATGAAACTCAACAGCAGTGCAATAGGATCTGTGTCCATTAAGTGTACGAACCACTGCATTTGAGTTAGGAATCAAGCAGAAATTCAGATTTTTATATAACCGATTGCAATTAATGATATTAGTTTTCACATAAGTTATAAACGAATTAGTTATCTTACCTTTTGTCTCTTCCAGATCCCAAAGTTTTATCACGCCTGAAGAAGCTCCAGCAGCCACTAAGACTTCTGTTGAATCAAAAGCTACAGATTCAATAGGGCTTGTATGACCACTTAGACTCTGCATCACATACCATGAAGGAATTAGGTTGCTATAGGGAAACCATATGTAAAATTTGTTTGTAGGTTCTGACTGTTGTATAATACCCAAAGTAAGCCATGAAAATGAAACTAGTAAGGTTGTATATTCGTGATAATCACACAGTTAATTTACTGACCGTTATAGCAGTGGGTTTCCCAATTGACCAAAGATTTACTTTTTCATCATCACCACCTGTAATGAAGTTTCTACGTGTCTTCTTCCCGATTTTCAAACAGTTCACATTTGCCGAATGAGCCACAAATTCCTCTATGTTTAGTTTGGTTAAAGAAATTGGAAAGACTGAGTATAATGAACAAACTTTAAGCCATCATTGAACATATCCATTCATATTTAAGCCAATCCTTGATTAGCGAAACAAAATTAGCACACATCAATTAAATTAAACTTGCAGTTCCACCAAAAATAGCAGGTTCTAAGTATTTCCCTTGCATCAGGACATAACTCTGTACAATTAGTCCTAAATGGTCACACCTGTAGCCAGAATCTATCTTTTTATACGCAAACAAAGCTTACACCTGAAGAAATCAAATACTATTGCAATCAATTTTGAATTTGTATTTAGCCCCAATCTTCTCAAAACTTATTGACTGACAATTCAACACAGAAAAGTATAAAAAAAATTATCTATCTTTAGTATGATATAAAAAACTACTAGAATCCAAAAAAATTAGGAAAAGAAGAAGATAGCCATGAAACAACCAAATTGAGCTATCAGGCTTCAGTTCAGCTGGAGATTTATTTGTTGAACTAAAAGGAAGCAACAGAAGGAGGAGAGAGAAAAAGGCTAAACCATCCCTACTACTACTTCTCTAGACAAGATTTGACCATAGAACAAACACCCAAAAGAAGCTTCAGTCAAAATATAATCTCAAATTCGCAATAAAAGGCAAAAAAGGATACGTAATTTATATCCTCGTTTCGCCATCTGAAGTTAGACTCGATCGAAAAAGAGCTTTTCCGGTGTCGGTGACCAGCTGATGTTGCTGACGTTTGAAGCAATCAATAAAATAAATACGATTGAAGACGAAGACCATGGAGGTACATACATACACTAAATGTCCGTATATGCATACAGATTTGCAGAATTCTTCGTATAATCTACAATCAATCACTGTGAAATTATGAATCAGAGAACTCGTGTACAAAATTTCACGGGAGAAAAAGATTGAATTGTTGCTGTTTGGAGAGCTGAGCCGCGTTTTGTTTGTTACATGACGTGCTCACTGTGTGTGGTGTGTGTGAGAGAGAAAGTCTTTAAAGAGAGTCTTTCACACTATGATTGTCCATCAAGGGTAATTTAGTTGTGCTTAGACGAAATTGCCCCTGGAGCTGTTATATCTTGTTTGAATTCTTGAGGTGTGAAATTACGGAAAAGGACAGGGGAACATGTGACCTTGTCTTGCAGGGATTTTTCCTTGGCCAAGAGAATCTTTGTTAAGAAGAAATATAATTTCAACTTATTTTTAAATTATATTTTAGAAAATAATAATAATAATAATAATAATGATGTACGTAAAGCCATTGATTTTTTTTTTTTTTATATAAAATCATTATAAAATACATATAATGATTAAGTATCTCTTTAATTTCTTAAACCCAAAAAACTAGTCAACCAGCAATCAAAAGCTAACAATGTCATTGTCTTGTAGTGCATGTTTTTTTGACCATGTGAATGTTATCTTTTCACAATATGTATAATATGTGTTGGTGCATGAGACTCTCTTGGATCACATCTAGACCAATAGAAGGAGGTCAACAAGCAATGACACAAAATGCATATCATAGCGGAAAATTATAAGTTGGTATCTTTTCAGATAAACCAGTTATAGCAGATGTTTAGAAATATGTATGGATTCAAGGAAAAGCTCTCCCAATAATCCTAACAGGAAGTATCCTTCTCTTTTATTCTCTCACCTCGTGTCAACTCCTACCATTGTAAGTTTGTGTCACCGGCTCCAAAAGCCCGCCTCCCCCTCCCCCTCGCCCATTCCATTCCCCCTTTTTGCTCAATGACGAATTTGTCACCTAAAACCTTATGACTATATCTTTGTGTTATTGTAACCATTAAAATTCTTTTTTTTGTTGACCAAGTAATCAATGAGTAACTTTGTCATTTTTTTGCAAGATATGGTATCTAGGATACCAAATTGGAAGTCCGGTGATATCACTTGATGTTTTATAGTTGGATGCCTTTTTTCTTTTTTACTTTTTGCTTACCTTTTAGTACATTTTCTATATTATCCCAAGAACATATTGCACTTTGTCTTATGTTATTTAGTAAAACAACATTTTTAGTAAGAAGTATAATTAGGTTGTACATTTTGAAGTGGTTGCTATAAACGTTTGTGATAAAAAAAAAAGTGACAACCCACACATACTCTAATCAACTCATAAATTACTCTTAGATGTTGGAAATATATATTTCTTAAAATAGACATGTGATAATAAGAAAATATAAAATGCATGTCGATAAGAACACTAAATAAACCATTGATGTCAATACCTTAAAAAGGAAACATGAAAAACCAAAAAAAACAAAGATAGAATACAGTTTTGGCCTATTTGTTGTAACCACAAAATCTAGTGGCAAATATGTGTTCCACATAATTTACGTTAGTGGTCATGATAAATTATCATGGATATCATTTTCATGATTATATTTGATTATGACATGTTATAATCATATTTGATCGTTACATGATTTATTATAATATTAGTCTGTTTTAATGGATCTTCTGTTTATATAAGTTGTAAGGAAAATGATATATGTTTGTATGTGTGTTGTGTGCACTGTAAGTGAGTGTGTTTGCCTTGGGGACATGAGTTAATAATTACACAAGCTACCAAAAAATGTTAGTATAAGATCATAAATTAAATCATTATTGTCTTTCCTTTGGAAAAAAAATTTAACAATCAGTATTAAAGGAAGAAAGTATACAACAATGGATTAGTGGTTAAAAGGGAGAAAGTAACAACAATATTTAATTATCTGATTTACATTATGCAGGGGCGGCTCAACAAGTTTGGGGGCTCTAAGCGTGCCAAAAGTTTGGGGCCCTTTGGCTATTACTATACTTATGATTATAAAATTTTTAGGGATCTAACTCGCCTATACTTATGATTATAAAAATTTTAGGGATCTAACTCGTTCCAACCCTGGTTCTATAATAAAAACAAATATAAAAGTGAAAGGTTGTTTTTTTTTCTTTCTTTTTAACTAAAGTATGTGCACAAGTAAACACATAAATCAATGAACAAGCCACATAGAAATCAACCAATAAGACAATAACCAACATTCTTTAGCTTCAGGTTACATTACATACTCTGTTTAGGTGTGATACTTGAAGTAAAAACAGAGCAACTCAAGTTGTGTGATTTTATAATTAAAAAGGGAAACATAAAAATCAAGCAGCAAGCCAGCAACGCAAAAACTGTGTGGAAACACCAACTCAAAAAACAAAAATCAAACAGAAACAAAGAAATTGAGCATAAGTCAATGAACAAAGAACAATGAAAAAAAATCAGATAATGGAAAATAATAATAACCCTAATCGGCTATTAACCTTAATAGATAGTCCGATAATGAAAAAATCAAATGAAAACACTGATAACACATACCTTGAATCAGTTCAATGAACAATGGAGAGGCAGAGAAATTCATGATTTTTGAACAATGGAGAGGCAGAGAAATTCATTAGAGAATCCAAGAATGGAGAAGGAAGAAGAACAGTGAGGGTATTTCAACAATCAACAGTTCAGGCAGCCTTACAATGTTCAAGAATCGAGATTGGAGAAGCCTAAATCGACAATTAGTCCATTCAATCAAGTCAATCAGGCAATCAGCGACAACAAGAACTGAGAAGAAAGGAAGAAAAACAAAAGCCAGAACGTCGCATTTGATTTTTGAGGAGGCGTGTGTGTATCGGTAATCAAAGAATAGAGTTGGAGAAAGAAGAAATATCGACATTGAGGGGCCCTTTAAAAAATGGGGCCCTAAGCCGTAACTTAACTTAATAGCACATAGGGTCGGCCCTGACATTATGTTTGGCCAGTTATATTATTTTTGAGTTTCTTTTTGTCATGTTTGACAAAAAAAAAAAAACTTATAAACTTGTTTTTTTAAAGCTACTTGGCAAACCAAACAAGGCATAAGGTCATGTTTGACAAAATAAGCTAGTTTGTTGTAATTTAGCGTTGATAAAACCATAAAAATAGTTTATCGTAATTTATAAAGTAACTTATAAGCTAACTTATTGATAAGCTGATTTATAAGTTAAAAGTTAGTTTTTCAACTATTTTGTTAAACATGTTACACAACGTTTCAACAAGCTTATTAATTTTTTTTAAAAATTCTCCAAAACACTCGTATTAATTATAAAAAAGTTCAATCTTTTATATATTTTTATGTCATTTTATATATTTCTACTAGCTTATCAGTTAGTTTTACCAAACGTTATTATTTATCAGCTAACAGTTAGTTTTTCAGTTATCAGTTAACTTTTCAACTAGTCAGTCAAACAAAAAACATGTTACACAACGTTTCAACAAGCTTATTAATTTTTTTTAAAATTCTCCAAAACACTCAGTATTAATTATAAAAAAGTTCAATCTTTTATATATTTTTATGTCATTTTATATATTTCTACTAGCTTATCAGTTAGTTTTACCAAACGTTATTATTTATCAGCTAACAATTAGTTTTTCAGTTATCAGTTAACTTTTCAACTAGTCAGTCAAACAAAACCTGAAAGATGTTTTATAATTACTTTATCATATTTCTCATCCTATCGAGTAGATTTAAGTCATGGTACGCTAACTTTTTTTTTTTGAAACGGGAACTAACTAACCGACTCCTAAATAACCACCTATGTCACCACTGAGACTTGAACTCATGACCTCTCATATGAGATGGTCACTCCTTACCGCTAGGGCATTGGCCCTTTGGTCATGGTACGCTAACTGAATAACTAAATTTTAATTTTATAAATTAATTTATCAATAATTTATTTCATATTGTTAATAAAAAGAGAAACTATCTTGGAAGCTTTGAATGGTCTCGTCAAATAGAAAATCAAAAAATAAATTTGCTTATACACAACAAATAAAGACTTGGCCTTCTACTATTAAATGTCACTTCTAAAATGTATACATCATATATATATATATATATATATATATAGATATATATATATATATATATATATATATATATATATATATATCTATATATATATATATATATATATATATATAATTTAGTTCCAAAAAATTTATAAACAAAGATCCAAACTCTACTCATGGGGGCGACCTTTAAAGGCTAACTAGGAGTGGTGTTAACATATCAAATATATTTCTTACTTTTTATCATTAATATACGAAAACCCATGTGCAACTGTCTTCCCCATATATCCAAATAAGAGTGTTCAAGATTTTACGATTTTCTTTCCCAATTTGGGTAACCTAATTCAAAAAATTTAAGGGTTTAAACTTTAAACATAATGACGTATTTATATTTTCTTTTTCGTTATAATGTCAATCCTTCCAAATAAATGAAAATAATTTTATCACTTTTCATCTTTTTGTATATTATGTCTCATGATATTTTATGGTAAATTTAGATTAAATTATATCTATGTGTCATTTTGAGATTTTTTCAATTTTATTAAATTTTATATAATACTTAAATGTAATAAATATAATAATAAATGTATATTTAATTCATTAATGCAACTTTTATTATAATTTCTAAATTTCTAAATTGAATCCAATTAATTTAGTTGTTTATTTATTTAAATTATTAGTTTAAATTTAAAAGATAAATGAGTACTTCAATTTTAATAATTAAATATTTTTCTTTTTTTCTTATAAACTTAAATTTTTCTAAATCGTTAGATATTAATGTTTTTTTTTTGGATACACCCATGCAATACTTAAATGTAATAAATATAATAATAAATGTATATCCAATTCATTAATGTAACTTTCCTTATAATTTCTAAATTGAATCCAATTATTTTAGTTGTTTATTTATTTAAATTATTAGTTTAAGTTTAAAAGATAAATAAGCACTTCAATTTAATAATTAAATATTTTTCTTTTTTTCATATAAATTTAAATTTTCTAAATTGTTAGATCTTCATGTTTGTTTATTTTTTTGGATAAACTCATGTAATACTTAAATGTAATAAATATAATAATAAATGTATATCCAATTCATTAATGCAACTTTCTTTTATTTCTAAATTTTTAAATTGAATCCAATTATTTTAGTTGTTTATTTATTTA